GTTTCTGTTCTCTGTAATTTTGACTTTACGGTTTGCGGTCTGCTCCATTGCAGATTTTAAAAGTAATGCAATATACAAAATGGCTGCTAAAGTGAGGACGAATACATCACCATCCATTCTGGGGCCATGTGACTCGAAAATATGAGCACGATATCTGACAACGCCCAACTTTTTTACCTAATTCTGAATATTAAATCGCGCAGGAATGAGGTAGAAAACTAGTATAAACTTGTTAATCATAAGTATGTGTACGCTCCTGAGTGCATGACATGTCCGACTGTGTCAACGATGTTCCATATGCGTAAACTCGAGCGCAACGCTAGAGTCTCGTGCCGCGTTCGCGAGCGTACCGCTTGAACGTTCCGCTTGACGCATCGATTTGAGATCGCTATACAATGCTCATGCGCTGCGGATGCGTAGCTGCGGGGAAGGGATATCGTCGAGTCATTAACTTAATATGCGCATTGCACACCATGCGCGCTACCTGACGACTTGTAAGATTAGAACCTGCATTTCTCCAATAATTTCTCCTTGTTCCTTTGTCTCTTTGATTTGTTTGGATAAGTATTAGGCACTGGCGGTCGTAGAACTTCCGTCAGGGGGGGGGGGGGGGGGAGGCGGCAAAATTTTTTCCCAAATGAAGGTGCATGGCGTTAGCCACGCACTCCGAAAATTTTTTTGAGCTTCTCAAAATTTTTGCGGGTCCATAACACCTAAATAGAAAAAGGGGGTGTGGCGGCAACCAAGTCTCCGAAACATTTTTACAAAGCTAATTTGAATTCGTAAAAAATTTCAAAAAAATTTTCAATTGCTTACAAGAACAAACAAGTCACTTGCACATTTTTATAATTCATATAATCAAATTTCAAAAATTTCGCGACCCTTCCCGCCTCCTCCCCCCCCCCCCCCCCCGGTCCGTCACTGGATTAGGTAGTAGTGCACAATTTCGCAGTTTGTTGAGCTATCTGCCGAGCTCCTCTGGACGTCGAGCTAGAGCGGTTTTTTAGTTGAAAAATTGGACGCATTATTAAAACAAAATTCGTCAGGATTGCTCCGTTGGTCTAATGTTGACTATCAGAGCACCCCATTTGAACAATAACTTCTGTCCAAAGCACTCATCCTCAACACTGCTCTATTTGAGCGCTGAAAAGACTGCAAATTTGATTCCTTGATTAGGCGTTCATTTTTCGCACCAAGAAAATTTTATAACTTGGCATAGGCAAATATTGAAAACAGATTTAGAATTACCGTTTTATGCTCGTCAAGGTGGTATAAGTCTCATTTAAAGCCACTTCGACTAATCGGACCTCCCTGTAAGCTACAAATGACTCGAGAATATCTTCTCAAATTCAATCTCCTAATTCAGTCGCACTATATACGAACCTGTTTTGGATGTTTTTACTGAAAATCGGTGAATTTTTGATCTTATTAGAGCATGAAAGCAAAGCAGAGAAGTCGCGACAAAATCCTAGTGCAGTTGCACCAGATGGGTTAAAAATTGCTAGCAAGCCTAGCCGTCCCTAGTAATTCTCAGAATACTAAGGTCCACTTCAGACTAGACGAAAATCGCGAATTGCGAGCAAATTCCATCATCCATTGTGCGACGAGAAGACCCGAGAACGCTTTGAAGATGTTATGTAACAAGTTTGAACTTGTCCTTTTTTCAATTCCAAGCAGGAATTCAACCAATATGCAGTAAAGCACAAGTATTATCATGTTACAACACATGTGCGAAGCGTTTTTAAGTCTCCTAATCGCAATGATTATGCGCGAGTTATTTGTAACTTAATATGTGAGCCTACGCACTGCTCGCGGCACTCGACGACACCTTACCAGTAACCCGCCCGTACAAGCTTTCCTAGCAAAATTAATTGTGCAAATGCGTACTATACACGATTCATGACACGCAAAGACTGGGCGCCGTTGCGTCCGACAAACATAGTTCTTGCACGGGAGAGACAGCAGGTGGTAAGAGAAACGAAAGAGCGCTCGATCGGAGAGACGCCGATACGTCCGCAGTCTTTGCGTGTTATGAATCGCCTATTCTTTATCATACTCATCTAAACAAGCTAATCAAGCTAGAAGAGAGAGAAAGGAAGGGCAATGCCCTGAAATTCAACAGAATTTAATGGAGAAGTCGTGAGTTAGCTTGCGTCTTGTGCACTGTGCATTAAGTAACAAAACTTAACCGACATCTTTCTGAACCTTTTTCCGTCACTATAAACGGTGGAAAGGTAGCCATTTGAGGTAGTTTTTGTTTGCTATTTGGTTTGAGGCTGACCCGAACGCACATAGCAAATAGAGAGTATGTTTGTGACAACGAGTCGAGCCCCGAATGACAGATCGACGATCAGGTGACTGCGCTGATTGTGTGATATGTTGTTCGGCACTGCGATCAGTGCACAAATCCGAGACGAGGATAGGGGGTTTCGATCCCCCGCGGGTCCAACCGTGGCCCTTCGAACACTGCTTCGCTCTTGTGTGTCTCGCGCTCTGCACCGGCCATTATCCACCTCCCGACACCCGCGGCGGCTGCGGTCGCCGGGGACGAGCGACGAGGTCACTCCGCGACGAGCCGCCGCCGCCGGTCGAAACCTCTCCACGATCGATTCGGACGGTGTCCGATGCGGGTGTTGTGTGTTCGTCATATTTTCCGCTGAACATGAATTACTAGCTGTAGTCGAGAGCCGTATAGTGCTGGCAAAACAATTTGCCGGCTCATTTAATGCCTGATTATTATCTAAAAATAAACGCAGCTGCCTGAGAAAAACAGCTTTGCGTGCCAGTCAGCTTAGTCATCTCTCTGAAACAATGTGCTTTGCTGCTTATTTCAGCTCAAAGCGCTTTAAAATCCTTCTGCACCTTCATCTTTGGAAATTTTCTTTGGGAAATCAAATAAACTGACTTCTTTCTCTACGTCAGCAGCTTTCAGTCGAGAAGAGGAAGATGCAACTGTTGCGAGCACTCGCTCGATTCTCTCTCAGTAAACATTGCAAGCGTGGAATTGAGAATGTCAGTGTAACTACACATCACCTGACATTCTTACGTGTCGTTTTCAGAACTTTCACTTTTCATTCTGAAGTTGGAATTTTATCAAGTCTTTGGCCCAGTTCTCCATTGCACGAACAGGATCTTCTCGTAAGTGCTGTGCAACAGGTCTATTTTGAAAGTTAACTTTCCTTTTTCTCACTTCAGCGTTTCTGCTCGTATCGCTTCGAATTGTGCTTTTGTTCATTGTTTTTGGAATTGCTTTTCGAGAGTTTGAAAACATATGAGTCACTCATGAAAAGTCTTAGCACATGAAATATCGGCGCTATTCCAGTATCCGGGCCCCAAAATTTTTTTGTCGTGGATTTTGTCGAAACTTGGCCCAGGGGGGTTATTCGGCCCGCTGATGTCGAATATCATATTGGTTTTGTACGGTAGCGTCATTTTCTCGGGTTACGGTGGGTATACGGTAGGGGGTCAAAATCACGGAATTCGCTGAAACTTGGCCCAGGGGGGTTATCTGACATGCTGATCACGAATATCATATTTTCTCCGCAAGAAATCGCCTCCCTGTAAGGTTACGGTGGGTATACGGTAAGGGGCCAAAATCACGGATTTCGCTGAAACTTGGCCAAGGGGGTTTATTCGGCCAGCTGATGCCAAATATCACATTGGTTTTGAACCATAGCGTCATTTTCTCGAGTTACGGTAGCTACACGGTCGGGTGTAAAAATTAGTTTTGCCTGAAACGGGTGTATGGCGATTCGGACAATCGTGAAGCTTTGCACACACGACCACCGCCGCGCGCTACACACCCTGTTGCGGCTTTTGCCTAAGCAAAGCACAGGGGAAAGATACATTTGCCGATTTGTGATTTTCACCCTTACCGTAAACCTACCGTAACCATACATGGAGGCGTTTTCGTGCAGAGAAAGTGTGACGTTTCTAATCAGCATGTCGAATAACCCCTCAGTGCGAAGTTACAGCGGATTTTGAGATTTTGACCCCCTACCGTATACCCACCGTAACCCGAGAAAATGACGCTACCGTACAAAACCAATATGATATTCGGCATCAGGGGGCCGAATAACCCCCCTGGGCCAAGTTTCGACAAAATCCAAGACAAAAAAATTTTGGGGCCCGGATACTGGAATAGCGCCGAAATATCTTTCTCAAAAAGTTATCTTTCATATTTCACTTTCTGCACCATTGAAGCTGTATACGTTATGACTTCTTCAAGCTTGTGTTTTCCATCATGATCATAAGTATGTTCTCTTATATGATTGAGCCTGTTCTCTTTGAAGATTTGAAGTACATCAATTGGTCCGGTTGAAAACCTGAACATCCTCGAAAGTCTTAATAAGCAATTCGAACATCTACTTCAGGGACATAAGTCAAGGTGATGACATCTGTGACTTTCTATGACATCTGTGCCTTTCTATCTTTCCTGTGTAAACTCATTATCTACTTGAATTTTATCACTGTTTTATCAGTCATCTGGCTCCATCATTAGCAATGATTCGGTATAAATTCGTTGAATTGCGGAACTGCTTACATGATGTGGTATGTATGTACTTAGCTGATAAGCTATTGATTAGAGGACACGGTTCTGTGAGTGTTGTGTTAGAAAGTTCTGTTGACTTTCTTGGTCAATTGTGACATTTTGTCCCATCGCGACTCTTGATTCTTATTGTTTTACAACAGTTAGAAACATCATTATACTTGTCCTTTACAGCTTGTAAATAGCCAAACATTTCTTTTTATTTCCCTCTATTTCCCTCTATGTACTTGTACTCTGCACCGAATTGATCCTTTTTTTCAACCACTGCATCTCACACTAGTCTTTTCCAGAGTACTTCCATTAAGCAAGCTTGCACTTTACATATTACGTTTTAAGAATGGGCTCTCAGGGACATTTCTACTATTCTATCTCACCAACTCATCGATGGAGGCTCGTCCCTACCCATTGTGCTGCCTTCCAAGTCCCTTTTTAGCAAGCCGTCTGGCCCTAAATGATCTTAATCTACGAAACCGTCAGTATCTATCCCAGTCAGTGTCATTTCTCATCTACGCAGCGAAAGGCAAGTATGCATCTCACATTCAAACTAGTTTTTCTTGGTTACCTAGCAGTTGCACTTTTAGCTCTTAGATGAAGTTTGTTAGTCAACCCTATCTGCGCTATCTGCCTTATCACTTCATTCATCTAGCTGTTTCAAATCTGTATTCTATATCTGCAAAACATTCTTTGGACGAGATTATGATACTTTTTTGGTAGAAAAAATTAGTACATCAACGCCAGTATTTTTAGTTCTCTTGTGTACCTACTCAATTCATATTGATCATTCCAAAGGTAGGCGCCAGACTAAGCGACTGTTTTGTTCAGCTGCAAAAGGCGCGCAGAATTAATGTCTGCTGCATATGGTAGGTGCCAGAGTAAGCGAATATTTTGTTCAGGTTGGGGTCCCTCGCAGAGTTGACGTCACTTGGATTGACGCCAGCATGGTGAGTGATGTCCATTCTGCACGGGACCCCAACTTGAACAAAATGTTCGCTTACTCTGGCACCTACCTATTGTCTGCTGCGGCTAAGGCTGCGTTCATACTGATCCCGAAGTTCGGGAGTAGTTCCAGCACAGCGCACAAAGTTAGCGTTGTGCTGAGACTGTTCCCGGATTACGAAATCAGTATGAACGCAGCCTAAGGTACCCGCCACACTTGATCCGCTTAATCCACTTGATCCGCTTGATCCGCTTCATCATTGGTCAATTCAGTGAACTGACCAATAGTGAAGTGGATGAAGTGGATCAAGCGGACCACCGCTTCGCTATTGCTCAATTCACTGAACCGACCAATGACGAAGCGGATCAAGTGGATAAGCGGATCAAGTATGGCGGGTGCTTAAGGTTTGCTTCAGCTGCAGGTCCTGCGCAGAATTAACGTTAATTCTGTGCGCCTTTTGCAGTTGAACAAAATATTCGCTTACTCTGGCACCTACCTATCAAACAGGGCTCGGCACAGCTGGCACCGGATCAAGCTGAATATCGTTTTTGGGACAAAAAGTTAAGGGGATATCGTTTTTTTTGGCCAAAAAGACACAAAAATTGCGACTTTTTTTCAGTCGAGTTTAGTTTTTTGGTCACGTTTAGCGTTTAAGGTCAAAGGGACTTCGTTTAAATTTCCCTGGTGCCAGCTCATGCCGAGCCCTGATTCCAAATATGGTATGACCTGCCTCAGATATCGCTTCGTAGTTGGAACAAACATTTCCACTCGTGGTTTTGTTTCTCGAAATTTCAAGTTACATCAGGAAAAATAGTCATAAATGTACTCGAAAAATCATTGTGCAGATAACGAATGGCATATCTATTGGCGTTTCGAAATGCTCTTCTGAATCCTTTCTTATTTAATTAAGTACAATTTTGCTGTAAACTTCTCAATACCGTACAGTTGCTGTCTTTCGGTGCTCTGTTGAGAGATTGCATCACAGATTTTATAAGCTGACCTTCAGATTCTGGTGAAATGCTGGACTTACACATAAACGAAACGTAGCGTTTTGAGACCATTTGTCTCCTGAATATAAATATTTCTTATATCCTGTTTGATAGGTAAGATGTGCTGCAGTGAACTTGACTCCAGATCATGATATAGATGCATTTGAAGCTTTGAGTGCTGTATACAATGTGCCCCATAAAGCAATCAATGCCTGCATCTTCGCTTATCTACATTCTTCATTTCATTTTTTGCATAGCGAATGACCTTATGATAACTTATATTTTTACTTCCATCACCGATTGGCGGATTTTCACTCCCTGTAGTAAAAATTGGTAGTTATTGAACCTCCAAGTTCGTTCATGTATTTGTAGGATCCACAGGTCTTCAGTTAATTACGCTTAACGATAATCGTTATCGGAATTTGATCGGGTATTTGGTTAGTACCGAGAGTGGAAATGATGTGCAAAAGTAGGAAAACGATGCAAGTATATCTTCACATTCAATAGGTAGATAGGGTTGCAAGTGCTGATTCATAACAGCTTTGTTTTGGACTGTTTTTGGCTAGCGTAGTATTTTTTTGCAATTTCTGCATTTGGCTAGCGTAGTTTTCACAGTTTCTACTGTTTTTGGCTAGCGTAATATTTCTTTTGGAATTTCTTTTCCAAAATGACATGACATAGTCCGATTGTGCTTTAATATTTGTAGAGTCTGATTGCTTTGGGCTGCAATTTTGGCTCTGTGTTGTTAATTTTGTGCAAGTCAGTCACATCAGTCGATGTGAAAGGGAATGGTTAACGTAGTGAGAGTACGAAATCATGCGTGAGTGATCATATCTAATCATGCGCATGAGTGCGTTGGAATGCTTCGACAGTATCGAAGTGCTCGATCAGGGAAATTATCTATATCACTTCATAAAACGTTCTCCAGCTATTCTGTATTGCTTCGTCATCATTTTTCGAATTTTACGAGATTTTATGCTTCATCTGCAAGAAATCCTTCTTTGAGAAAAATGATAAATGTTTAGATGCTCCGAGGAATGAGTCATTGTGTTCAAGAAAATGGTAGTCTGGCTTAGGAATTTGCGATGGTGGTGCTTGTATCTACCCACCGAATTTTTTTTGACGAAAAAAAAAACTTTGCGACCTACATCTTGTAAGATATCTTTGTTGCGCTCTTTCGAATTTTTTTCCCTCCGTACTCTCGATTTACGCATGTTATCGTTGTCAGCCTGTCGTTTCGGTTCGCTCATTTCCCATCGCAACGCCATCTCTGTTTCAGTCTGCACGTCATCATACGGGTAATGTGGTAGTTTAGCCTCCTCTCCGCATATCCCATCCCAAGGTTCCTACCTGAGGTAAGCACTATTCGTCTATTCAAGTGATTTTCAGAAGGCCATTAGTTTCGTTTTCTTCATCAACGGTGTTCCTGGTGACCTAATTGCACCGTTACGAAAGTGGACGCAAGTAGCGCTGTTCCATATTTCACCTTGATATTTTCGTTATCCTTGTCTCATTTGTACTTGTGCGCATTTTTAGGTAACACAAGTACAATGGGAGCATGCTTCTCACGTCATCGAGGGTCGTCATCAAATGACGGCCATAGTGGTGGGCATGAACGAGTGGATGCCACCAAATTCAGTTCCGCTGCCCAGACGATGTATCTGGTGAACAATGCTGGCGATCGGGAGGCGCATAATATGGTGGAACATGCGACTCCAGCTCGCGTAGCTCAACCAGGTCAGGAGAAGCTTAATCAATAAATTTTTGCTTAGTATTTGTCTTTGCTGTTTTCCGCTTTTTGCTGCTTTCATACTTTGTCTGACTCTAAAAGTTTATTCTATTTGTAGCGTTTTTCCTTGCCGTTTCCATATTGCATGTGCACTAAAACAAATAATCGTTTTAACTGGAGCAAAAAAGAATCGCCACGTGACTATAAAATGTTTAGTCGCATCACAGCATGACCTTTTTTCTATGCAAGCCATATGGAAGTATCATTATAAATTTATTGGAGCCGTATAGCCTTCAGTTAAAGGCTAGCGCTGTGCTGAACATATAGATAACCTAGCAAGGAGTGGAGTTGGAATAAAAATGGAATGCAAGAGCTTTTAGATACCTTCTAGGACGCGCTTATGATGCAAGAATTTTTGCGAATAGCTCACGTCATTGTTATTTTGCACGTCGCAAACCTTATCACCAGAAATTAATGTCACAATGAAAGGCCCTTTTCTGTCGTACTGTGAAGAGATTTTGAGATAATCTTTTCCTCAGCATAATTCTTTGGTAGTAGAAAAGTCTGAAGCGGAAGAGCCAAATAGGTGTTTCTGTGCGTTTATACTTCTACTAAGTACACTCACCAGCGCAGACGACGCACGAGCTCGCACGCGGCAGCTCGCTGTTTTCCACATGAACTGTAGAAAACATTTGAACAGAGTGCGCTCGAATGGCTGAATTCATGCCACCACAGCATTAACATTGACTATACTTTGACCGAAGTGTACAAAAGTGAAGAGTCAAACGACGAGGCCATCGATCTTAAGTGTCATCGTCAACGTTAGGTGGAGATCTCATATGGATAAGTGGTAGCATGTCTTTGCATAGCGCGAATCTACATAATGCTTTCCATTGCAATATTTTCGGCCCCTCAGTAATTCTTGCCTTAATGTCTGCGACAAACAGGTTCTGATATTTTTGGGCTTTGATCGATGTTCTAATGTCTCTTAACATTGTTTTCGACCGCCTTAAATTTATAAATTCCAGACAAGGAAATCTTGGTAGCACTATATGCGTATGACTCTCGAGCCGATGGCGATCTTAGCTTCAAAAAGAATGATATCATGTATCTGCTAGATCAGAGGTAGGCTTTATTGCACTAGTTGGTATTTTAATATTAACAACGAAGACATTTTCTTTGCATACTAGCGGCCGTATTTTTGCTTTACTTTGCGTTATATGCTTTCTCTTTATTCGAAAAGATGATCAGTCCCCTGGTAGTTTATATCATCGCTTCATCTTCCGTTCTCTTTCTTCTTACATGAACAACGCGGTGTCTCTATTCAACGAAACGTTAATATGCGCTTTTCTGCTATATCCGTTTCTGTCAATCTTGTCTGATTAACTTGCGCTAATCGAATCCGCGTTCACTTGTCTATCATCATAGGTAATTGACTGCGAACAGAGATAGCACTTCCTATAGCTGCGGATTTTTATAGACTTGCTTCTTCTTATTTACCAGTTGCTCACTCTCATGGTCGAAGATAAGCTTGAATCGAACTGGAATGTGTTCTGTTCATACATGTTGTCTTGCTCTCAACCATTTGTAAACGCCTCCAAGGTGTTAATATTACAACGAACCGGGCTCAGTAGCGTTGTATCAGCAAACAAATGCCAAAGATGCCACGAGATAGCTAGCATATGTGCTTGACTGCCCATATCATTGTGTGATACTGCGTTCTTCGCTCTTGAACATCTGAGAGCTTATGACTGTGGAATTGCGATAAAGTTGGAAGGGGGATCTAAAAATTATTTTTGACTTATCATGCGAAAGAATGCTCTTGTCATATAAACGATCATTCGACATTCTGGACTCCAAATAGGAATGTTTTTCAGCAACTGTGATTGGTGGTATGTACGTCATCAACGAACCGGAAATACTGGATATGTGCCAAGAAATTTTGTCGCCAAACAGCAAACGATCGAGAGCGAAGAGTAAGTATTGGCACTAAATATGTTCGATGCTTTTCGAACCTCATTTTGTAGATGGTATGCTGGGAAAATCCCACGAAATCGAGCCGAGCGGCTGGTATCGGCGAATAACTTACCAAAAGGAACCTTCCTTATCCGTGAGAGAGAAGCGGACGGACGAGAATTTGCGCTGACCATCCGGGATTCTGATGACATTCGTGGTGACAAGGGATCTTTTTGAAATTCAGATATTTGAAGAATGGGTTTCTACAGGTTCTGTAAAGCATTACAAGATCAAACGACTCGACCATGATCAAGGCTTTTTCATCACTACTAGGAGAACATTCCGAACCCTGCAAGAACTCGTCGCTTACTATTCCGGTAATTCTACTAGCCTTTATGCTCTCTGGACGCGCTCAGTATCATTTTCCAGAGATGGCCGATGGGTTATGTTGCCAATTAACATTTCCTGCTCCTCGAATTGCTCCTACTCGTCCAGATCTTAGTCATGATACTCAACAAAATTGGGAAATCCCTAGGAATCAATTGCAGTTGAAGAGAAAACTTGGTGATGGAAACTTCGGCGAGGTAAGCTTTGATTTTGTATTTTTTTTTGAAGTTCTTGCATCTACAAGTTCTTTTTTCTTGCAGTAAATCTTTTCGTTATAGGTTTGGTATGGAAAATGGCGCGGAATCGTCGAAGTTGCTATTAAGACCATGAAACCAGGAACGATGTCTCCGGAGGCTTTCTTGGGGTTAGTTTACCCCTTTTCTTTTGGAAAATGCATTTGGAAGTTGTAGCCTTTGCCAGTTGAAGAGCTCTTTCCCAACAATTTTATTTCGGTGCTCACTGAAAGTTCAATGTTTCAGTGAAGCGCAAATCATGAAACAATGCGATCATCCCAATTTGGTTAAACTTTATGCTGTCTGTACCAAAGAAGAACCCTTCTATATCATCACGGAGTACATGTGCAATGGCTCACTTCTTCACTACCTGAGGAACGAAGGTGCCGCTTTAGGAATTCAAGCATTGGTCGATATGGCGGCACAGGTATGTTTTGGTTCCATCTCTGTAGCTCTTTTTTTGGAACTGATTCGTTATAGATCGCAAATGGCATGATGTATTTGGAAGAGCGTAAACTGGTACATCGAGATTTGGCCGCAAGAAATGTCCTTGTAGGAGAAAAGATCAGCGGTGTCCCAGTTGTCAAGGTAATTCTTTTTAATAGCTCTTTTATGTTTCGAGGTCAAATCTATCCGCGGTTGATTGTGCGGTGATTGAAAAAGCGCGATTTTGCATTCAACGAGAAACGCGACAAACGATATTGTTCATTGTTTGGTTAATGATGTAGTCCCTTGGATTTTTCTTGAAAAGCAAGCAAAAGCGAATGAGTCAAACGCACTTGCGTGACTTGCTATTATTAGGGTTTTGAAGCCGAGTGTCAGCCCGTTTTGTCCCCTTTATGTGCCCCCACAAAAATATCACGAGCGTGCGTGCATATGTTGTACACAGCTTGCATCTTCATATGTTTTCGCAAAGTTGAATCATTGCAGCAAAAAAGCAGTAATTTCCTAGACAGGAATGAACTAAGCTTGCGAGTTTTTTTTCCAGTTCATGGACTTTCAATGCACTTATCCCCCGATTTTCAAACTTTTTCTGACATACTTCTTCGTTCACTTCTGAATATAATTCATTCGAACTACTATCGTAAATCTGCATAATGAAGTAAACCGTACTTTGAGTTTTACGTCAGAGTACAATATTGTCTGCATATCGTATTCTGACGTAAAACGATGTTACATGGTTTTCAAAACAACTGTTGTAAATGCAAATACTTTCCTTTTCTTTTTTTTTGCAGCATGCGGGGATGTCATAGCATAAACTTTATCTATTCACGAAGCCTTCAACAGTTACTTTTGTGATGCGTTTTCTAAATTTGATAGGACATTTACTATTTATTCATAGGCAGCTTTAGCAGTCGCTCAGTCTGTCTTGCGTATAAGTTTCAGAATAATCACGTGTAGATCTTGCAACGATTAGTTCGTTTTCATTGTCAGTAACACTTTGTAGAATGCTCATTTTGCCATCTCCGTACTGCCATAAGCTGCGAAGTTGAGAATAGTATCACGCAGACTTGCTCGACAGCAAAGGGAAATTGAAAAGTCCAGTCTCTCTCTGAAGTTAAATTTTTGACAGGTATTCGTCACAGCAATCGACTCAGGCGCATCACTAGACAGCTCTCTAGCTGGTAGTGATCTATATCACTTAAGACATTATTCCTTGATTGCACATACAATAAATTGAGCCTAATATGCGATAAATTTCCAGGTAGCCGACTTTGGTCTCGCTCGAAAACTGATGGAAGAAGATATCTATGAAGCGCGAACAGGCGCGAAATTCCCTATCAAATGGACAGCTCCAGAAGCAGCTACGTGCGGCAACTTCACTGTTAAGAGTGATGTGTGGTCGTACGGTATTCTCCTATACGAAATTATGACCAAAGGACAAGTGCCTTACCCTGGTGAGTTTTTTTTTTGAAGAGAGTTTCCCCCAAATTATCTTTTTGCTCTGAGTGCTCCCCTCGGACGCATATAGAGTTGCTCCATCTTATTAGGATGGTACGTCATCGCACAGCTGCCAATTATAAGCCGACAAAGCGCGGCAGCTGGCTCAGCTCTATCACAATGGCGAAAGAAAGTCTAGCGCAAATCATGTTTAGTAAGAAAGATGACACATATGCAAAATTTGCATGGACAAAATCTGCGAATTTCAGCAAATAAACAAGAAAGATGGTTTTTTTTTTCGAGATTTTTTTCGTAGAATGTAGTTTTTTACCTACCCATTGCCTACACAAGAAAAGAAAATTAGATGATTAGAAATCAGTTCGACTATATTAGCAGTTGCAGCATTTGGCCTTGAAATAGCGGGAACCTGATTTGCAGGTTTCCAAATAGTCCTTGCTTCTTTTCCGAAACAGCTTAGGCTGATATCCTTATTTTTAGACGACAGAGCGATTATTTTTTCAATGAAAATTTTTTCTTCATTTGTCAGATTAGAGATCTGGGAACTTTGTGTTGAAGAAGTGTATTTTTGTCGTTTTGCTGTGAAAGATGACGTATAAAGGTGTAGGTGCAAATGCGTCGAAGGTTTTGTTTTACTAAATGATGTTGATTCTGTCCAACTTGGAATTAGCAGTTTTTTACACTTCCCCAACGCAGAACTTATTGTTAGAGGTTGGGACTATTGTTCTCTCCAAGAAGTCTCCAGAAAATTGTCAGTGATTGTGTGTGACAGCTGACAAAGACCAAGATGCATCCTATAGAAAGTGTTTGCCAACATGACATGCGAAATGTGCATTTTTATGATGGATCTTTCGTCAGAACAGAGTTTTTCTCAAAAAAAAAAGATCAAAGGGTAGAATACTGAGAACATTCTATCATTATAATAGCGTGGCGTTGGCATTCATGGCATAAGTTTTCGAGAATTAGCCTTATTTTCATATAAACCCCTTATTTCTAGAACAAATTGATTATGAAAAAGTACTGTTGTATTAGCCAACCATATTCTCATTTTTCTCCCTAATGCTCGTTTTTTCTTGCTTGCCTCCATCATTAGTCTTTTTAGGCATGCATAATCGCGAAGTGGTCGAACAAGTGGAAATTGGTTACCGGATGCCAATGCCGCGCGGCTGTCCCGAACAAATATATAATGAGGTAGGCTTTTATTCATTCATAGCTCGCATTCGAGGTCAAACTAGATTTTATCGCGAAGCAAAGACAAAGCGGCATCTTGAGATGTTGTATTGTAGGTGATGCTGAAATGTTGGGACAAAGTACCAGAACGAAGACCGACCTTCGATCACCTATTCCACTTTTTCGACGATTATTTCGTATCATCGCAGCCGAACTACGTTCCACCAAGTGTCTAACGCCAATTAAGTGTTCTCTAGCCTATTTTCATATCTCTTTCATTCTCTTCTCTATTCTATTCTACTTTTCTTTCACTTATTTCCGTTTCACCTCATACTTAACATGCTTTTTCTATACAATTGTTGGGTTTCTATGTCTGAACTGTCGCATGTCGACTGCCGACTACTACAATACTTCGGATCACAAAATAATGCACTTCTCACGCTACCACATGCAAGGGCTACGATAGTCGAACCAGCGTGCACAATGCTTCTCCATATATTTTGCTATTCTATGTATATATTGAGCAGTTCTTCGTTTATTTGCGTATGCGCTCCACTCGCTGCTGCCGCTGGTGCTGCCCGTTCCCTGCGAAACGGTTACTTGCATATTTTACCCACTCATGTACTTGTCAGTTGTGTTTTCTTTTTTTATTCCAATTAGCCATTGACGAACAAGCGTTCGCCTGTGAATTGTGTGCATTTTTTAACGTTGCCGACTTATCCTCGATCAATTTGTGTTTGTTACGTGTTTTTTATGCTCGAGATGTTGAGTGATGTTGTCGGATAGAAGAAATTAATATTGACAGATGTTTGTTGTCGAGTACGATAAGATGTGCTACATTTGGTGATTGCGTTTCCAATTTCACCGGAATCCATCGGCTTTAGTGCTGACGATTAATCTTGTTTACTATCGCTCGCGTATTAGCGTGAAGATGCCGCGTGCCGCTGCCCAAACGATCCGCCTCAATGAGGCTGGGAACCAAACAATTGGCATATGGCGCCGGCTGGTGCTCAGCCTCCTAGAGCATTGGTTGAAGTTTCTTGGATGTTTTAGTGATATTTTTCTTTATGCAGAAAAGAATTTTTTCCACTACGGCTGTAATGCTGCTGCTCGAAACATTTCTCTTTACGCATTTTCGTAGTCATTTTATGGCACCCTCATTCGCAGCCTGATATTTCTCTTTGGCTAGAATAGAAGAATTACTTTTTTGTTTCAATTCCTGAAGTGTCCAGGGTATGCTCAGTCTTTCAATCTTGTCGTATGCTGTGCATCTCCCTAGAGAAATGCGCCTTTTTGATCAACTGAAAATCAAGAAACTTGCTGGAACGCTTGTACTGAATGCCATCTATTTCAAGATCAGCAACGGATCCTCTGCGAATTTTCTGAATGAGTCTTACTTTTTATCACAATTGCTTATGTGAAGAGTGGTTTCTATCTTATATTACAACTTCTATATACTTACGGATGATTTGTTAGCAAAAAAAGGAATAAAGATATGCAAGGTACCAGAAGAGAGGGCAAGCGTTAGGGGACAAAACATGCAAAATGCAAGCAATGTAAAGCCCGTAACTCTACAGTCTGTGTCAATTGTGTACTCTCTTTCGCGCAGGAAATACGTGTGCGCAATGCGACTGCCTGGCGCGCGGACATCCAATTGATGAGACCAATATGAATGCAGGAGCCATACACGCGCGAACGTGGCGCGAAACTCTGACGTGGCGATTGCTCTTACGGAAAAGGGAGCACCTGAATGACGGAATGTAACGTAATGTAAGCGCCATTTTTTCCTTCAGTAGCTTGAGTTATGTATTGCCCCGCCCCTCCCCCTTTGTTTTCGCGCCAAAGACGTTTTTCACGGAGAGTCTTCCAGGGTCCGGAAAATTGGGTTTGTCTCCTGATGCCCTACAGCTCCGAAAGATAAATTCTGAAGTGAAGAAGATAACATGCTTAATTCCTGGTCTTTGATTGGCGCGAAATCCTTCATGTTGATTTCAAACTCTGGCACGCTATTTAGGTAGGCGCCATACTAAGCGAATATTTTGTTCAGCTGCAAAAGGCGCACAGAATTAATGTTAATTCTGCGCAGGACCTGCAGCTGAAGCGGGCCTTAGGTAGGTGCCAGAGTAAGCGAATATTTTGTTCAGGTTGGGGTCCCGCGCAGAATTGACGTCACTTGGATTGATGCCAGCATGGTGAGTGACGTCCATTCTGCGTGGGACCCCAGCCTGAACAAAATATTCGCTTACTCTGGCACCTCCCTTAGCAGCAGCAGGCAAGGTAGAGGACTATATGTCGCCGAAAAGGGGCGGTCCCCGCGGTCATTTGCGACAAATGCGCACCCTTGTACATGCGCGGACATGCGTTCCTGCAGGGAATCCGCGCAGGACTCTTCCAAATTCGGCGACATATAGTCCTCCACCCCAGCAGGCATTATGCAGCAGACATTAATTCTGCGCGCCCTTTGCAGCTGAACAAAATAGTCGCTTAGTCTGGCGCCTACCTTAGCTTTAAGCCGCTATATGATTAGTACCTGTTATTCCTATAGTGGTAAAGGCTTGAAAAGTTACTCTCCTTATTCTCAAGTGTTGATCTTCCGATCTATTACTGCGGAGACCATTTCTTCATATGCTTCTTTGTACTACATGAACAGCGCTTCTGAAATTTGCGCTTTCGGAAGAATGTGATCTTATTGTTCTGGATTGATATCTTAAATTGCTCAAAAAGGTTCCACAAACAGTTCTGGAGTGGTAGTAATTTCGTCGAAACCATCATGTTAATTGATTTTTCATGACAGCAGCTAACCAGCATTTCACATCATCTTTTCAACGAAACCACGAGGTAACCAATCAGAAACTCTCTAGCGATTTCATCAACCACGCTGCGATTCAATAGGTACATTCACATTTAGCATCCAGTGTCTTTTTTTGGAAGCTACTACAGATTAGTACACAGTAACGGCTAATTCAACCTTGTCTTCACCGTAGAACAGGGACGTGATAAGACGCAGTGACAGCTCATCAGCTCATAACAGCGCTGTCAGCTCATAACTACTTGCTTTTTTCATAATTTTGTATGACCGATTGAACAGAATGGCCGTTAGAGGATGATCATGTTTACCACGATATCATCATTAAACCCTCACATCATTTGATGGTTTCGACCAAATTACTATCGCTCCCGCCTTTTTGGATCTTCCATGCTTCTGGCACTTCGATATTATGTCAACTTGACAAGGCAGTCCTTATCTGTTTTGTCAACATTCGCATTCTGAGTCATTAGATGAAGAATTGCATCACCTCAAAGAAGACAGGGAGGCACAAAACTTTGTAGTTATCTTTGCTTTTGTCAACACATCGATGTTGTTGGTGACTTTAGTATCTTGCCGAAATATGTTTTCACTGTACCGCGAAATAATGGTGCTAATCCACAAAATCTGCCCCAATCATCGCAATAACTCAATTTTCTCGGTACTTGGCCTCTATAATAGTGTAGTAAAAGTTTTGAGTGTCCTGACATAGTTTTTGCAGGTTATGAGACTGCGCACAATGATCGCTTACGATTAGTCTTGCATAGTCCTTCAATCGCTTTTATAATGCTCTCAAAAATTACCCTTATTTCCGGGGTATAAGGTATATATTATTCATTCTCTGACCAAAAGACACGAGCACGCTTTGCGTAAGTCTGATTTACAAGTTTATGAGCGCGATTTGACGTGTTTCGGTAAGTTATTATTAGGTTTATGTGAGAGAACATGTTCGAGCTCGTTAAACGTCGCAAGTTCAAACATGTCCTTTCATGAATTTGCAATAGTAATTCACCAAAACACGTTAGAACGCACTCTTGCGCTTGTTAATCGGGTGTACGCAAAGTATGCTCGTGTTCACTGGCGAGAGAATGAACTAATCTTCATTAGAATTAATATTTGCTGCTGATTTCGCATCGTTCCCGGCATTCAGTCAACTCCGCAGTGTTGCATACTTGTCAGCAAATCCAGGTTGTTTGGTGCAGTTGCACTAGAGCTTCAAATCCGGCGCAGGTGTCACTCAACTGTCTAATTCTTGACATCAAAAAATGTTCGGCTCTGTGCTTTGATTTTTACTCCATCTAATACGAGCTTATCATTTGATGCACTAGAGTAGCATGTTTAAAATCTAGTGAGAGGTTTCGCGAGTGTGCGTTGCTTCAATTGTTCTCTTCAAAGCAGCCTTTGATCTTCCAAAAATTTGTATGATATGTAAACTATGGAGCCGTTCATGTTACAACTTCCCACGTCATTTATAGTTCATTTATGAAATTGTGATGACATTACTGCGGACTTTGCGCCCACAGAAGTATAACGCATATAAGAAGGCATCACCTCAACAGCTCAGTCACTTCCAGTGTTTAAATATTATCATACCTACTAAGCAAAAAAAAACCATTTGACTAGATTTGAAAACCAAGAAAATGCGATAGCCAGAAGTGGCGTGTGTGTCGCGCGCGGTCGCGCCATCGTCACAATTTTCAAATACCCTATACGCGCTTTATAGGCAACGCAAGAACACCCGAATTGTGTAACTATTAGACTGTACGAACGCAAACTTGTGCTGGGACCTGGACCGTGATGAAAAACTATTTAGAAAGATTATCCGGTGGTTAGGCCCACCAGCATAAAATGGGTTGTAGAAATAAGAAGGCTGAAAACTACACAGTCGTTGCCGATTAGTATCATCATGTTCATCAGCTGTAAAGTAGGCAGTACATTATAGATAAGTGGTAGCGTTGATAAGCTTGTTGTAGCCTACTCTAAATTATTGCTTTTTGATCTCCTTCCTTGCCAGAACTCTTACAAGGCTGCAACTTATCCGCCTATTCTTGGAAGCATCACATGTCTGTTTTCTCAGTTGAATTATCGGGAAAGTTTTATATGTATTCGATTTCTTAGCATTATTGGTAATTTGATAATTCTAACTGTCCTCTCACTGCATTTTTTGAACTATTCTATTGCGCTGATAATGGGGAACGAAATGAGGGAGAAAATGATCGATTCTATGCGTGCATAGCCTTTTGAAGAGTTTCTTTTGCTTAGAATTAATGTCACGTCCCTGCCTTGCCAAGTGACTTTGACACGCACAGAAGATAAAGTGCAAAATAACGCACAGAATTTCCCATCATTGATTGTTATTGTCATGGACTCGAGCCTAACGGGTTCTGCATTGATTTCCTTCAAGGTCTCCTTTACCTGTAATCTTGTTCTCATTTCTTCATTCACGTCTGCGAGAATGCTTCAATTTTTTTTTCAATCATCTGTTTGCGTCAGAAGTTTTTTAAAAAAGGTGCTCTCAATCTAACATGCAAAAAGACAGAAAATGCAAAAAGTTAGCTTCTGGTAGCCTGTGTAATGCTAAGAGCATCTTTGTATTCACTTGCTAGCGATGTCTCTCTAATTGGCGAAATGGAGCGTTAAGTGTAAGGTTTCGTCGTTGATGCACCCTAATTTATGCAGTTGCACGCCTTCACCTTCGTTTTGGTCGCTATGTTCTATTCACAAGCCAAAATGCATTCAAACGTAGCATTCAGTGCTCACTTTATTGTCTCTTTACGACTTTTCTTCAGTTTTTTCTCTTCAATATCCATTCCTCTTCTGTCATTTCAGGAAAGGAGGGCAGGTGATTGAATGAGATTCTTTGTGTCTTTTTTTTTTCGTGTGTGAGTTCAGTTTTATGCCATGAATATGGTCTTTAGATTGCTTGTTTATATAAAGTGCGATTTTATCAGAACTGCGTTGACTTCTCGTTTGCCAAAATACTTCTTCGCCATTCTCGGCAACTTCACCTCCTTCCAACTTCCACGGTGAGAATCTCACTTGTTGTACCAAGGATGTCAAGAAAAATGGAGAGCATTTTTTTCTTTTTTTTTTCTTTTCTGCATTTGCAACCTCCTACCGCACAGCTGTTCCAATAATTCGGATTTTGCACTTTTAATTGATATATGCTGTAAGCTCGTACTTCTTGTTTGTGTTGCTGTTTTTAGGACAGCACTTATTTCCGCTATTGTCAAGGCGCTTTCCAAGTTTTTCTTTCCATTGTGTGCGACCAGCTGAGGCGATTCGTTGCACGCTTCCTTGACATTCATGCGTTTTTACCAATCATCAATAGTGAAACCACGAAAATCTGCTTAGCATGTCTTAGCGACAGGGCGGAGCGCTCGTCGCATCCAGAGAGCAGCGCCCAGGCTTACTATATTGCTTGACTCTGCCCTCAATTGTGGTCCGCGGGCTGCAGGTTTCTATTATTGGTTCTGCTGTCGAATTGCATTTGTGATTCGGTAATATCCCAAAGGAAATCGTTTTCAAAAACGTAGTTTAACGAAACGCGCACATTCTTTCTTTTTTTGCGAGTCATTCTTCGCTGAATCGTCTATTCGCATCAATGTTATCAAGGTCATGTGGTTGAATGTCATTGGAACACTGCTGCGAAGAAATTTGCTGTTCCGATGACTTCGCGTTCTATTCATAAACCACTAACGCTAGAATCCACCTTTTTTCCCTTTGAAAACATTCTCTTGCAAGAATTCATGAAATTCTTGGTATTACGTTGAGTGTTAAACATCCACTTATGAATCAGTTGTCGTGTCGATGTTTTTTGTTTCTGATGAATAGCTGAATAATTATTAGCGCTACGTATTGTTAAGAATTTATGCCATTATCAACTCTATCATTTTGTAACGTTCATAAATTATTCATGCTGCAAATAGCGTATGTGTGTGCTAAGTAATGTTTATGTCAATTTATAATTTCACTATGTTCATCAAATAAAGCCAAATGGTTATTACCCTATGTGGCATTGTATGTTCTGCTTTTTTATGGCTCTCTGCATGCACAGCCAACTTGTTTCCAACTAATGGAAGATTAATTGTTATTACAGTACCCTCTGGTACACATGATTCGTTTCATTCAAAATTATTAAGTGCACAAATTTTGGTAGAGTTTTAGTCTAACGTATCATCCGTCTTGGTGACCTTAATCTGCAATATGTATTATGTTTACATTCTTCGGTAGTTTCTCACTTCCCTGATATAACTGGTCTTCCCATATCGACGAGTGTTCCTCGAAAACTTGATATCGCGCCGTTTTGACCGCTTGACATATCGAGATGGGGTTCATCTACCCATTTTCTCGCTCATTCACGCTCTCTTATAACCTGTTCAATTAGTGAGGCATACAGTTGCTTCTCTCTGATGAACCAGATGCACAGTTTTTTTCACTTCAGATGCACTCATAGTGGCTTGGTTGTTGGTGGTGGTTTCCTCGTCTCCCACACTCACAGTGGTCGTCGATATACTCGGTGATGACACTGGTGACGAGAACCAAGGTGAAACTAGTATTGACGCTCTTCATTGCTGGTGGTATTATTCATCTAGCCATTGACAAGGTGAGTAATCAACAATGGAATTCGTTCTCCCATTTTGCATTCCTAAAAGAGTTCATTTATAGTAGGTTTTGAGAAAACTATAAATCTCCATGCTTCTCGTTTGCATTCTGAGAATAGGAGGAAGCTTTGCACGGTAGTGATTAAAAGCACCGTCAACCAAAATTGAGGGTAGTGAGATCTTGGTACAGCATAATAGCGGCACCCTAACTGAGTAAGAACCTCTCAAATCCCCCTGCAGAAAATGAATTCCGAGAGGAGCAAATTACTCCAGGAAGCAGAAGCGAAGATAGTGCTCCGACCATCAAAGTATTAGGCTATCTCATAAGTTTTTTTATTTTACCGCAGTAAGCCGCAGATTCTCAATAGTGATTGGAATGCAGGGTACCATTCGATAGAGCAAAGCAAGCTCTACAAGTCGGCGTGTGAGCGTTTGCACCAGCTTCAGCACATTACGAGTTAGAAGCCGAAATCTGAGAACTTTCGGATGCTCAAAAAATCGAAATTTTTCATATCTTTGTCCAAAGTAAACTTACCGGATCCCAAACTCGCTTATGCATATACACTCCACATAGCACATCCATATATGTCGTTTGTTTATTTGCAAGCGGGGAAAACTTAAATTTTCAAGCTTTCAAACGATGCTGCGCTGTTCTCACATAGGTAAATGTACACTACAGGCCTTCAAAGATACATTGTTATATTTTCAGCTTCCTGGAAGCGCTAGTTCTTGAGATACACAGAAATTAGCTTTTTTGGTAAGGTCTAATTTGTTCAAATCAATATTTTCGGGAACTAGAACTTATAGTAAGCTGAAAATCTGTGACTGTGCTGTTAAGGGCTTGTAGTGTACATTTGCCTTTGTGAGAACAGCGTAGCGTCCCTTTTTTGAAAGCCTGAAAATCTTAGTTTTCTCGGTTTTCAGCACAGGTACAAACACAGCAACGGCGTATATGAAAGTGGTATGTGTAGCGTATATGCATAAGCGAGTTTTGGGATCCGGTAAGTTTTCTTTGGCAAAGATACAAAAAAAATTTCATTTCTTTGGGCATCCGAAAGTTCTCAGATTTCGGCTTTTAACTTGTGATGTGCTGAAGCTGGTGCAAACGCTCACACGCCGACTTGTAGAGCTTGCTTTGCTCTATCGAATGGTACCCTGCGTTCCAGTCACTATTGAAAATTCTGTGACTTAATGCGGTAAAAAGTCAAAATTGAGAAAACTTATGAGACAATCTAATAGGTTGTCTGGAGGCACAACTCGAAAATTTGAGCTAAAATCTGTCCAAAACTGTCGCAAGTATACAATGAAGGGCAAAATTTCGAAAATTTTGGACACATCCAAGCTCCATTTTGGACTTGTTCTTCGTACTGCCCCGCAGAAGGGCAGAGCCACTTCCATTTTACCTTCTGGAACGATTCTCTTGCGTATGACTTCGCCTTTTAAAACGTGGACGATTTAGTTGAGAGCCCCGCTATTGTGCCCTGTCATAATCTCATTACCCTGACTTTGGGTACGTGAAGCATTTTTGAGTCTTCTAGTTTCGGAGTCCATGTTACTGGTTTATACTCTCTGTGGATGAATCTCTCACTAGTTGTTCGTAGATTATACATTCCAGGGTCAGTCTATCTATGAGAACTTCGATCGAATTAGCTCCTATGTCGACAATGATCCGCTCGAGTCTGTTCTTCAAAATACAATCACACGCCCACCACCAGCGAACATCAATTTGATAACATCAAAGAAGTTCAGTGAAGATTCTCAAATCGCTTCTCAAAATGACCTGATCCTCAATGCTACCGCAGCCGACGAAGGTGCGTTGAATGTTTACCGGATGCTTCAGCATTCGTGTTATGTTTATAGTCGTAGTTTTATGACCGTTAGATATTCTATAGTGATGTTTACATTGTGCGTTGCGTATCGCTTTTCATTACGCTTTTTATTCGTGACATGACGAACAGTGTCCTTTCATGCCTTTTTTCATTGTGTGAAGTTTTTGTTCATGCAATACATATAGTTAGTAATCATCTGCATGAATTAGGCTTGAAACCGGACGTTATTAGATTTTTGCGAGAATGTTATGTGTACTTATATGTTAATAACGGGCGGTTATAATAGCTTTTGTTCCTCAAATTAGTGAGGTGTATTATTTGCTTCGGTGAAAACAGGACTTTGCTTCGGGATTGAAATACGTTTTGGACAAATTGTTTGTACTGTTCAGTAGGCATTTTCTCACCTACAATGATTGCATAATATCTGCATGGAAGTTCTTGTCTGGTGAGTTAGCATAAGTTGATATGTTTAGATAGTTGGGCGAACCAGACGTACCCGCTCACTCTGCAGAGCTCAGCGCTAAAGCTATGTCCAATAACACCGCCAAATCTTGTTGGTCCAATTCGTGTGTGGATGGACTCACCGTCAATGGCGAAACTGCAGAAGTTGTATCCATATCTGGAACCAGGTGGTCACGGACAACCTAAAGAGTGCAGATCAAGGCATAGGGTGAGTGCTTTGACGTTCTGTTTCAATGAGAATTTACTCATTTTTTTGCCTCACAGGTTGCTATAGTTGTGCCTTACCGTGATCGTGAATCTCATCTTCGCATTCTGTTACATAATTTGCATTCATTCCTCACCAAACAACAGCTCGATTACGCCATCATAATCGTTGAACAGATGGCGAATCAAACATTCAACAGAGCCAAGGTAGTGAAATTTTGGGCACTACATTCACTGTCGCTATTGATATTCACTTACATTCCAGCTAATGAATGTTGGTTTCGCGGAAGGCATGAAACTCTATCCATGGGAATGTTTTATCTTTCATGACGTTGATCTTCTACCTGAAGACGACCGCAACTTGTACTCTTGTCCAACAATCCCACGGCATATGAGTGTAGCTGTAGACAAATTCAATTATAAGTGAGTTTAATCTTGGTGTTTCACCGCAAATGAAGTGCCGAACATTAGCGTTCATAGGTTACCATACACGGCAATCTTCGGAGGAATCAGCGCAATGACTGTTGATCAGTTGCATGCAATAAACGGTTTTTCGAATCGTTACTGGGGTTGGGGAGGTGAAGACGATGATCTGGCTGACAGGTGAGAGATCTGTTGTTGCCTCTCCTGTCCTTGTGGACTTCAAAATAGCTTGAAATCTTTTTTCTTCAATCTGGCGAGAGCTCACTGATATATTCATTTGAGATCAAATTTCCGGTTTTCATTGAGCAATGCGTGCGTTGAAAGATTTAAAAGCAGTCAGTAGGAGCGGTAGTTTTTGGTGTGACCGTCAAGTAGTGAACGTGTAGCTTCAATACTTTGTGGCTAAAACTTTACAGAGCGAGCGCTATCAGCAATTCAGGTGTTTTGTTAGAATTGCAGAAGCCCGTATTTGGCTAGGGGACTGTATGTCGCCGATAGGGTCCACTCCGAGCGGACACGTGGTATCGTGCATCCCTCAGAATTGTTCCCATATGAACCATCAACCTGACTGCCTTTCGTCGTTTTATCACATTATTTCCAGCGAATTTAAAGGAGGCAGCGTCCAGGCAGATCCGAGCTGGACGACCACGCCTACTTCCTTCGGACGGCCAACCCCTTATGAACGAAATCCCTCAGCCTTGACGTGTTTTCACATGACCAACACAGTCGAACTTACAGCGTTTACCTGTTGATACTTGCTTTCGACAAGGATAACATCAGAAGCACTCGTCCGGGTTTTCCCAGAATAGCCCCCAAAGGTGGTTTTCTGAGAAATTTACGCTTTTTGAGTTCCATATTCGGAATCAGCGCCATGGAAAGGCCTGGATAACATAAAAATATAGAAGTCGAGAATCTGCCTGGACGCTGCCTTTAAGGCCTTGTTCGAAGTTGACAGGTTAAAATGATCAAAAGACACATGTTGGTGGTTTACATGGGAACAAATCTGGGGTATGCTACAGATCTGTAATGCCTGTATTGTACGGAACTGCATGGTCTGTCGCAGATGTCGGTGTAGAACCACCTCCTTTTGGCGACATGTGTCCTCCGCCCCCATATTTTGGCAGGAATTATTCTTGACCAGAAAAGTTTTGTGATATAACATTTCATATTGCTGATTAATCTCAGGCTGATTGGTCTTCGCTTATAAATGCACACGATTGGCCTAGCAAATGGGAGTCATAATTGCTGAAAGTGTGAGGCATCGCTCAGAATAATTTTTGAACGCGTGTACATCTTGAACCACAAAATCCTCCGTTGCTTTACGGAGAGTATGTTACCCCACCCCCTTCCCCTCCCCTTTTTCACTGGGTAGATCATGAATGTGTTGAAAAGCATACATATGTTGTTAAAAGTGCTCTCCATGGTAGCCACGCAATTGAGAGAGAAGGGAATTTGCATGTGTATTTTCTGTGAGGTGGTACACCGTTGAAAGTCTACTGCATGACAAAGGCGCAGACAGCATTAGTTGACGGGCGCGAACGCACGCGCATGTAAAGGCCGTGTCAATGACGAGCTCACTTTTCCGTAGCACCTGCGCATCCACGTCGATCATGCGCGCGGCAAGAAACAGTGAAAAAGAAGTTTGTGGAAGAAAAAAGGACTTAGGCCTCAAAGGCATCATCAAGCGGAAGTTGGCAAAACGCCAGGCCATGCGCCCGCGAACGTGCCGCAGGGGAGTCGTGGTGCGGCTTTGCAAATCCACGCCTGCAGAAAAGGGAGCATGTCATTGACACATCCTGTATCCTCACCGTTGTAATCCTGCACTATGCGCTCTACGGCTAATAAACAGGGTCAAGCAAGGGGTGTGGCACACGATCGCTGGTTACGACCCCCCCCCCCCCCCTGATTGCTGTCTTAATAAGACCCCCCCCCTGGACTATACCCTTAAGATAGCATTACTTGGAGGCCCTGTCAAACATAATGGGCAACATATCCATAATGAGCATGTCAATTAACCCCTGTAGACAAAGTTTGAGCGAATTCTGAAGATTCAAGATACTAGGCTACCTAAGTGAGACGGTCAAATTCCAACATGGTTAACTTTGTTTCAAAGGTGAATTAGCTATCCGTTTTCGCACTCAAGACAAAGCACTACTCCACATCAGTGCCGCAGGCCATTATCTATATCAAAAAAACATTTTTAGCGGACAATATTTATATGAATCAATAGCCTAAACCTTGTAGATTCCATAGGGATGTTTTGAGCCTGATTCGTCTTCTTAGCTCTGAGTAATATTTGGTGAAAGCACAGCGATCAAAAGCGAAAAATGGGAAAAACGAGATTTTGGTTGGCTTCTAATTCAATAGTTTGGAGGTCTTCTGAAGCGGGATTCCTGAGGTGGACAAAGAAGGAGTAGTGGTTTGTATTGAGTGCAAGAAGAGGTAGCTTACTCACCGTTAAGATGAAGTTAATCATGTTTTAAATTACTGCTTTATACAAGGTTGTTTACTGCTCGTAGACCTCAGAGTTCGCTGAAACTTGGCGCATAGGGGTTATTCGACACGCGGATTACGACAATTATGCATCTGCAAGTTTATGTCGTTGAACTTGAATTTTGCAGGATTTCAACAGCGCTTTCATCAAGTCAATTTAGTCACACAGCTTGTACAAGTGCTTTTGACCTTGGGTCGATACGACCCCCCCCCCCCTACCTACCCCTCCCTAACGACCCCCTCCCCCCTGCGGCGTGCCGCACCCCCCGCTTTACCCTGCTAATAAACGCATTCGCGTCCGAAGATGTTGTGCTTTCACTATACAGTAGCCTTCTTATGAACAAACAAATAAATATGAATGGGGAACAATGGTTTCGGATGATGGTGTTGATAGTTGTGCGCGTCATCTGCTACGAACACAATATAAACTGAAGATTATTGTGCATACATTCACTTGCTTGCGACAAGTAATTGACATCGTTGCAGAACGCGGCTTGCTAATTTTCGTAGTTAGACTCCATTTGCTATGCAATAATGACCGAAGGCACATGCAAAGTGACTACAAAGTGACTTATGCGTCGCTAGGGAGGCAAAGAAGCACAATGAATATCGAATGAGCTTAGACTTCCACAAGCACTGCCAAAAAATAATTCATGACTAGCGGGATGTCTAACATAAAATTTTCGATGTTGCGAAACATCGCGATGTACTATGCTTTCTGTGAACGCATGGTCAGAAAGCAGGAGGTATGTTCGAATATGACTGTGAATATCTTGAGAAGTGTCAATCAGAAAATATTGAAAATCAAATCAGCCTTGTGAAAGCGAACTGAAAAGACTTCTTCATTCAATGTTATCTAGGGTTTCAAGGGAAGGCTACAAGATAGCACGATATCCAGCCCAGATAGCTCGATACAAGATGATCAAGCATGTCCATGAATCTAAAAGCAACCCCATAAACAAGTAAGTCGATTATTGTTTCCATTTCTGATAAGATTCTATTTATATGTTCATTCAGATGTCGATATAAATTAATGGCACAAACAAAAAAGCGGTATAAAAGTGACGGATTAAACTCACTCAAATACGAGGTACTGAAACTTGAACTCTTACCATTGTACACGCATATAGTAGTAGATTTATTGGAAAACGAAGAAAGTAAAGCAATAAAGAAAGCATTAAGATGTTAAGGCGTTGTTTTTACTCTGCATTTATTTTCTGGTTATAGGGGCCTGCAGGATCGCGAGAGTCGGACGCGCGTACGGCCTTTGCGCCGCGCACGCCTGATATCGCTGGGTCGTAGTCGATTAAGGCTAGATAGGTAAGTTTTTTTTTGTTTTTCTTTACATTTCACGCCTTCTTTTCTTTTCAGACGGTGAGCCATGTTGGTGCGGAGGAGTTTAAGATCTGAATTAAGGTGAGGTGCAGGATTATGCTCAATACGGACTCAATATTGCAGACTTTCCATGCCTGCTGGTTGAGATGTTGGATTTTCTGTCCTGGCTGCCCTGTTACAGCAAACTGTTCTATTTCTACCGTCTATTCTACCTTATCTTGCATATTGCTTGTGATGATGATGATGATGACAATGATTATGATTGTGATGACGCGCATGATGCAAGATGAGGTAGAGCAGACGTTGCAAATAAAACGGAGTTTCGTAACCGGGCAGGCAGGACGAAAAATCGAACATAATCGGACAGCCAGAACAGAAAACTCAACATTCTTCAAAGCAGGGGTGAAAAGTCCACAATATTGGCCCGTATTGAGCATAATTCTGCACCTCACCTTAATCTAGATCTTAAACTCCTCTGCACCAACATATGTTCGCCGCCTGAAAAGAAAAGAAGGCGAGAAATGAGAAGAAAAACAAAAAAATCTCACCTATCCAGCCTAAATCGAGTACGACCCAGTGACATACGACGTGCGCGGCGCAATGGCCGTACGCACGTCCGACTCTCGCGATCCTGCAGGCCCCTATACTAAACGATATTGCCTCCTCTGTTCTCTCAGGTATTTAATGACTACTACTCTGTTTTCTCCATAGGTGCGCAAAATTCAAGGTGAAGAATATTACTTAATGAGTGTTTGGAGATTTCTGAGAATTATGCTGTTTTTCGTTATATCAGGTACTTAAGAAATACAACTTTTTCAATGGACTAGTCCTTTAGCGCGTTATTGCATGGTGTCAATTGCTCGTTAGCACATCCCAGTTCTTTTGTTGTTTAGTTGGATCGAAAAGTTAAGATTTCCAGTTTTCACGAAAACTGTTCCCCACGTCTATACTCCCGGGTTCTATGCCTTTCTTGCGATTCGTTGTTGTCTGTGATCATGTTTTGCATAAAAGATTTGTACAAGTGTAAGCGCTTTATGTTCATACGTAATTAAATTTCTATTGAAGACCAGAATTGAACACGTAAAACTAGATTTGATACACCGATAAGAGCATATGCGTTACCCACAATATCACTACTTTTGTCTTGTGAAATGTACATACAACTTGCGATGCCTTGCATACGAAGAGTTACCATGGGACGAGCAAGAATTCTCGAAAATATTGATGAGAAATGAGTGAACTAATCGAGAGCATCAGCTTGTCACGCAGTCTGGGCGCTCCTCACGACTTCGCATCTGAATAAAGCTCGTCTATAGCTGTAGTGAAAGTCATGTTCAAATTAGTTGCAAGGGAGCGCTTGTTATGCATCAGGAAACAGTGTCAGGAAAGGCAGATTAAATATAGCAATGTTTCTATCCTATACTAGCCGGGCATCAAAGTAATCTTCTTCCTAGAAGAACATGGTCAGTGTGATGAAAAGAAATACTATGGTTTGTCAAAAGGAAGTGATTCAACTACTATCGCATACGTAAACATGCTCTACTTGAGGAAATCAAAATCGCCTGCATGTATAAAGTAAACAATGGAAAACTGAACAGTGAAACTTACCATTTGGGAACCAATCAGACGTAGGAATATGTCTCGCTCGTCAGTGGGATTCCGATTGCGCTGCCCAAAATGTGCCCACGGTTCCGATATTCGTCTTTCACACTAAAAATCAGGTAAAACTTCAAGAATGTAAAATATGGAAATGACACTGCGGCTTTAGAAATGCTACAAAACCTTTTTGAGGCTAGAAATCAAGTGGGTTTTATCACGCTTCAATAAGTACAGTTGCATATTTGATTATGTCGTTATTACTGAACCTTTAATCCTAAGATGTTAACGCTTTAGCAACGTAGAAATCAGCAGCTGTTTAGCTTCCCTTTCACATTTTCCATTGAATAAGAACGAGCGAGCAAAAGTAGCGCAACTGAGCCAATTAATGCAGGGTTCTCGCACTATAGAGTTTAATATGAAGGGACAATGAAGCAAACTTAAAGAAAAGATGCGGAAAAGATAACATACTTCTTTGCCCTCTTCCATGGGTTCCCAAATACGAATCACCTCTTCAATACCGGAAGTAGCAAGCATAAATTGTGTCGGATGAGGTTGCACTATGTTAAGAATAGAACTATCAGCATTCCAGGCAGCAACAAGTACTCCCGAGCATCTTTCCCACAATAATAACGATCCGCAATCCGATCCAGCAACTGAAAGCAATAATGAAACTATGACTTCGTAAATTCTCAGCTTTCTGCGAGCGTCCTCACCAATGTATTGATTTCTTGACCCGAAAAAGTTCGCTTCCTTTATATCAGTGTGCGTATTTGTCTGTCCACAAAATCTCTCTGAAAACAGTGTGGATAAAATCCTGAAAAGACACAAATTCAGCTCATTTATGAACAAATCTCACCGCTGTAATCTAATACGCTTTTATCATCAGACATGACGTGCGACTGGTGAGCATGTGCTGAATCTCTAGCCACGGACACCTAAACAGGAAGCGATAAAACACCGAATTGGATCTGCTAGGGGCGAACCCTCAATTTTGAGGTGACAGTAAGCTCAAGCAAATAAATATATCCCGTCTTAGGTTTTGATAGTTTCCTCACACTCACAAGCCAAAGGAACCAAACACTCAGATAATCGCCGGGGGCAGGCGGCCATGCGAGTTTTGAGCAAGCGCGCACCGGAAAAATAGTTCGCTGATTTCTTGCGGTCCGCTTGCAGAAATTTGGGATAATTTTAGCGAATTTTTGGACGAATGCTTGGAGAAGAATCGCGGTTTTCTTATAGATTAGCTGCGGCGCAGTGGCCGCATTCTCGCGGACTTTCCGCGAGAATATGCAAAATTTTCGGGGGCAGCACGGTCCTTTGTGGAGGACCGCGCAGCCCCCAGGTACTTTCCGCTGGGAGAAAGTACCTCAAACTTGAGTAACTAAACCAACGGTGACACCTCTGCCACACAGAGTCTTACCTGTGCTCGACGTAAGCCCGAAAATGCGTAAAAAGAGTCCGAGCGCTTGCTGACCGTTTGGCCAGCGCTCGCTGAAAGAAGTTATTTGCCGAACGCTTGCAAAAAATGCTGTATTGCTGCCCGCTGGCAGAATACGCGACAGTAAAGGAAGTACCGCCCGCTGAAGGTTCGGCCACGCCTCAAAATCCTGCTGACCGCTTGCAGAGTGCGAGTTTGCGAACCGCCTGCCCCCAGCGATTATCTGAGCATGTGAAAGAGTGCGTGAAGGCTTTTCACAGAATGATGCTTTAAAACAAGACAGACGCATCGCATCGCGCATGATATGCAAAATATCTCGCAGCGCACTGTGCATACTAAAGCCAAAGCCTGGGATTTGATAACAAACTAAAGCAAGAGAATTTGATTCCTGTGTAAGAACATTCAATACGTAACTAAAATATTGCGAAGACAAAATATTCGTGAAAACAATGACCACGGAGTAGTAATACAGCATATGAAAAAAACACTGAGAAAATAGATTGCCTGATCAGTGAGTCGTGTGATAGAGCGATCGTTCGGGAATCTCCGTTTGAATAAATCTATGCACTCCTTGGCAAGATCCCACTGTTCCAAAAGCATAAGTGAGCGAGTCAAGCGCCACAGCGCTTTCGAATTACCCGGATATAGAAGAAGCGCCTGTAAAGGTCATACAGGCTCTTACAGCGATAAAACATATACGACCCAATTTCAAAAAAAAAAAAACACATCTACATTGTGGGAGGTGTTTACATACCTCCACACAGTCTCGAACACATGCGTAAGAGTCGCCTTCCCATCTGCGACACAAATATCCCATGCCACGATTTGATAACAGTACACTGCGATCGTAATCGCTTGGTGAAAGAGCAAGCGCACGGCTATAGATGTCGATAGCCTACAGAGCAAAACTCAGTCGAAATGCAAAGTCATCATGGATAAGCAAATTAGCAGATTGAGAAATTCACAAACCTCGGGAAACTTTTTGGAGCTGAAGAGCTCTTTCGCTTGCTCTCGAGCATCAGCAAACGCGAGAGTGTGTTTGCCATTTATTGGGACTGATATTCCATGAGTGAGAGGACTGTAGCATCAACTTGAAAACAGCACAAGACGGAGCCTACCTTCATCATTATTCTCAATTATTCGTTTGATTTTCTGTAAAACTGTGGGCCGATCATCCGATTTCAATTTGAACAAATATATCGGGCCACATCCCTGATTGACCTGCGAAAAAAGACTAGATAAACTATGGCCCTGGCCAGATTTCGCTCAAAAGCGCCCAAAAGCGCTCAAAAGCGCTCAAAAGCGCCCAAAAGCGCTCAAAAGCGCGCAAAAGCGCCCAAACTTCTCTAACCTCTCCTCACTCTTTCTCATCTCTCCTCACACGAGAAAGTGAAGAGACACCAGAGAAATTTGGGCGCTTTTGCGCGCTTTTGAGCGCTTTTGGGCGCTTTTGGGCGCTTTTATGCGAAGTCTGGCCAGGACCTATGTTTTGCCTGAACAACACATAAAAAAACTCACAAGGCACTCTGTTCCCATTTCATCGAATGAAACATGAGTGGTGTAAGTAAAATTACCATGGCATTTATCGTCAGCTGAACGTAAAATATAGGTTCACAAGCTCCGATTCAAACAGAAACCAACCATTCACGCAAGTGAGCAACGGTTTATCCGGTTTTCTTCTATCGTAAATTGGCACTGGAGCTTCATCAGTCGCCACTGCTACCTGAGGCAGATAATTTTATGTTATGATATTGATATATTTTATGATACCATTTCAGTTCGCCCTTGACAGACCGCGAATGATTTAACGCGTTTTTCGCCGGTATTGATAAGCTTGCGGTCCTCATTTGTTCGAGTATCATACTCTCTGAAACAGACCAGAATAATGTGTATTACTCCGCTTTAGAAGATGCGGACCTGACGTAGCTATCTTCTGATGCCGACCAAAACAAGTAGGGCTCATCTTGAGCTGTTGCTAAACGCTTTACTCGTCCATTAGTTGTCCATGTAATTGGCTCATCTGTATAAGCATACAGTTCATGATCTCGTGAGATTGTTTTCATTGTATCCCAAACCTCTATACCCGTCAAGATCGTGCATTTTCACTAACCGATCGCCAGCTGCTGATACTAAAATGCGATCATTCCCTGAAATAAGAACGATCTCACAATTCCGTATTACATCGGCAACGTTTATCGATTCACCTGCGGGTAAAAACTCTACGGCAAACACATTGGCATGGTGGCCTGTTTCAACCGATGCAATACATTCGCCAGCAAGATTCCATACTTTGACTCTGCGATCATCAGATCCGGATGCTAACAAGCTACAAAAACATGAAATCAAAAACGTCGAAACTGCGGTTCTGTCATGGACACCAGCGGACGTAAATGTGAAGGTACAGACTTGCCACAAAAATGGTATAAACGGTTGCAAACTATTACTGTCATGTATACAGAATGAAATCAAAAACTAATCTGCTGTTACTCACGTGCCACCTCGGTTCCACCGCAATGTATTCACGCAAGCTTCATGTGCCTGAATAGAAACAGGTACTATGTCCTTAAATTTCGAAGAAACGAACAATCCGCGTGAAAATGCGTTAGTTATCTCTCTTGCAAGAGTATAAAGAGAAGAAAACCCAACTAATCTTGGCAAATCAAAGGAGCAAACACATCTTTGGGAGCGTCTCCGAATCTGCTTTCATTTACTGCAAAGCAACTCTCCGAAAGAAGTTATTAATGAAAGTGTTTTGTCATCTCAAGTGGCATAAAATTAGCGAAAAGCTGCAAAAACACCAATGCGGATTTCCAATGGCCTGAAGAATACTGCTGCAAGGAAGAAAAACCTTCCCTGTGGCAATACACATAGGTATGTTAAACATGATTGCTTTCCCATTTTCGAGTGTTTTCGCACAGCCTTCCACTGATTTCATTGTTTCACAAAAGACAAAAGCGAATTTGGAGTCAGCTTGGAAACGCGTTTGATGGTGTATATATCACTTTTCGATTTGCCAGAATAACTTATTATCCTTCTTTTGTAAGTATAAAGAACGGATAAAAATTGATTTAACAAAATAAACAAAAGTGAATCGTAACCAATCCGAAGAAAAGAAAGGACAAAAAAAAACGAAAACACCTACACTGATGGTTCTTGTATTGCCCAGGCGCTGCACCAGGCGATCCTCATCTACGAGGCGATAGCGTTCGGAAGATGCGCCGAAAATCTCTCTATTCTCCAATATGGACATCATCCTTCTAAACGGGACTGAGGTGAAGGCAGCAAGCCTTCGGTGATGAAAACCACCCTATCCTCTGTGAAAGAAAATGAAATGAAGCGAAACGTAGTGTTAGCAAAAAGGAACTGAAGCGAGTACATAGAACAAATGACGCGACAAACATTGTGAAACGAGTCCTTTCAAGGATTGAAGTGATCGCCCACTCGTCTATTGTGGCACTCACCATACTTAATCCACTTGATCCACTTCGCTATTGGTCAGATCGGTAAACTGATCAATGGCGAGGCGGATATTCACTTAATCCGCTTCACCCACTTCGCTATTGGTCAGTTTAGGCTCTGGTCAGACTTCGCTCAAAAGCGCCCAAAAGCGCCCAAACTCCTCTGACTTCTCCTCCCTCTCTCTCTTCTCTCCTCACACGAGAAAGTGTAGAGACACCAGAGAAATTTGGGCGCTTCTGAGCGCTTTTGGGCTCTTTTGAGCTTTGGGCGCTTTTGGGCGGTTCTGGGCGCTTTTGAGCGAATTCTTGCCACGGCTTTACTGATTTTACCAGTAGCGAAGTGGATGAAGTGGATCAAGTAGATCAAGTGGATCAAGTATAGCGCGTGCCTAAGCCGTACTGATTCAACGCCATCGTGTGACTACGGTACTCGGGCAAATTTGGTTGCCATTTACATAGATACAGCTAATACATGCCTTTATTTCCTCATACCCACTTCTTCAATTTAGTCCACCACCTCCAGGTAAAAACTATAGTAGAGTTGCAAGTTGTTCTTCAGCTTTTCTAACATTGAGGAAGTCGTAGCTGGTGGTACCGAAACTGGCATGATACCGACAAATAAGCAATGTTCGAATATCTTCAAAGCATAAATTTGAAACGACGGAAGTTTTAATTAGGTGTCCACAATCAAAGGCATAATGTGTAAACTTCACTGTTGTGGTCTAATAGGGTGAGCAGACAAGATTATTACGAACTTAACCGTAGCATACAACCGTAGAAACATTGTTGCTATCACATGTTTTCAGGACTTGGTTTTTTTCCTGCACTTCGTCTAGGGCAGCGATTTGCGGTAGAGCACACCGCGAGTTTTGCTTCATTTTCGCACTCTCACATGATAGTACGGAATGGTTTCATCAAATTTACAACAAAGGCTGCAAAAGAATTCACATTTGTAGATTGCGATCGTCTGCTCAAATCGACGATCGACTCAGATCATTATAGCGCATTATGGGTGTCGAAGGAATTATTGGGATCGTTTGGAGGTTGTATTCGCAGCAAAAATAATCGAACTGTATTTGTGATCTTGATGAGATAAAAGCAGCCATTCACTCAGACAACTGCTCAGATAATCGCCCGAGGAGGCGGTCCGCAAACTCGCGTTTTTCTGCAGGCGGTCAGCAGAATTTTGGGGCGTGGCCAAAGCTTCAGCGGGCGGCACTTCCTTTACTGTCTAATGTTCTACCAGCGGGCAGCAACACAGAATTTTCTGCAGGCGCTCGTCAAATAATCTGGTTCAGCGAGCGCTGGTCAAATTTTCAGCTGGCGCTGGGACGGTCTTTAACACGTTTCGGACCGCGAAATCGCGCGCGGCGAAAAAGAGTGCATTTTCAGCCATTAGCCAACAAAAGGAGCTTAATTCGAAGGCTTTATGTGCTACATCTGTAATCAGCATGCCAGATAAGTCCCAGACACAAAGTTCTGAGTGAATCCGAAGTGTTTAAATTTTGTCGCTCGAGAAGGACTTCTGTGCTTTCCTGAAAGGTAGGGACTAGGACTCAGTTTCTAATAGTATCCAAAAGTATCTATGTTGTACACCGTACACATCAGTATTGAAACTACGGTTTTTCTCTTTGATATCGAAGCAAAGAAAAGTTGCGACGTCGCACGCGTCGTTCGCGTTGCCGCGCTTCGTTGCAACTGATGTTCGATTTGTGCTCATATCTCCTAAACGAATATTGACGGCACGACTACAGAGTCAGTTGAAAAGCAGAAGCTTAGGCCTTCAACTTGATAGTCTTGGACTAAAAGAAAACTTCCCGTAAATGTCAAAAAGATCCTTCAAAGCAGCGCGCTACATCATGTGCAGCACCGGTCCGAAACGTGTTAAAGGCAGCGTACACCCAAAACAAATGCAACAGATGTTGCAACAGCAACTGCAACTGCAATTGCAGCTTACGCTGTTATGGATTCGTCCGGAGGAGGCGGAGCGAAAGAAAAGGGAAGGCGTGAAAGAAAATTGAGGGGGGTTTTCTCCGCTCAGAAGCAACATTGGGAGACCGGACCAACGCAGTTGGTCTTCTTCTGGGCCCAGTATATACACGGTTTTAAGAAAAATCTAGAAAATTAGGCAACTTAGATTTTGGGTGTACGCTGCCTTTAAGCAGTTTGGCGTACGCCGGGCGTACGCCGAGCAAAGGTGAGACTCTACATGGCAGAGGTGTCATCGATGGTTTAATTACTCAAGTTTGAGGTCAGGGTCAAGCGTGTTGATGCGATCCTGGACCCTCATTTACGACCCCCCCCCCCCTCCCCCTCCCTACCCGTCCCCCATCTATCCCCCTTGCCTCCTCTGCCCACATTTCTCGCGGTAACCTGCATAAACGAATGTCAATCTCAAAAAACACCTGCGTGAGAACTTGAGTGAGGTTTCGGAAGCAGAATGTGTGAGTTAGTGGGTGCGCCCAGCATCTCTAGCACATATACACACCTTCAATAATGTTTGAGATTCTGCAAGTTTACTTTTGAATTTTCAGGCATACTTCAGGCCAGCAAATTCGATTCCCGTATGCGACACAAATTTTTACACGGAGAACAAACTGACATTCTTGAACTACAAAAGATGTTTTCGACTAGGAAGCTCAGTTCTTACCTCTTCCACAGTTTTTCCTGCAGAAAAAAATCGCTTTAGCGCCGTCCAGAACGACGTTAAAAACATGCATGAGCACGTTAGTTTGAAAATTCGTAACTAAGGCCAGGAAAAGACTGAGAGGCTGCAAAGAACAGGTTCTGTAGCATGGTGCCCAGACAATTCATAGAAAAAGTTTCAGCCCTTGAGGAGCAGTGAGCTCGAAAAAATTTAGATCAGGCTCTCGCAAAATTACTCAGACAATCGCCGGGGGCAGGCGGGCACCGGAAAACTAGATTGCTGATCTCTCGCACCCCGCTCGCGGATTTTTTGGAAAGCAATCAGGACTTTTCGGAAGACCGCTTGCTGAGTTCTCGATTCCTCAGAGATTCAGCAATATATCTGCAAAAGATAAGAGCGAAAAAAAATTCAACAGGCGGTCTCTCAAAAATCCGCTGACTCAGCAAGCGGTCTTCCGAAAAGTCCTGATTGCTTTGCAAAAAATCCGCGAGCGGTGTGCGAGAAATCAGCAAACTATTTTTCCGGTGCCCGCCTGCCCCCAGCGATTGTCTGAGTAGATGCGATCCTAAAATGCAAAAACTGGGATTTTTGAGTTTAAAATTTTGTAACTTACCAGAGAAGTTATAAAACAGCCTGAAATTCTTATGATAAAAACTAGAGGGATGGCCTCGTGTTACAGCAAGTTTGCAGCTAACAAGCTTCAATAGCTCTGGAGAAATTTAGATCAGGCGCAGATACGACCCCCCTTTTCTCATTTTTTGCTACCATACATAAAACCATAAGAACCGCAGTTTATAAAATAACACCAGATTTCGCACAGCAATAGCAGGGCTTATCCAAAGTACATATAGATTGTAAGAGCCGCATAAATGGCATTACAAAAAGATTTACGAATTATTGATTGTCATCGTTGATCTACATGTGCGCTTTTGTCGAGTGTGCGAGTCTTCAGTGAGCCTTCGGAAGCAGGATGTCTACACCAATCGGTACATCCAACATCTTTATCACACATACATCCCTTTAGTAGCATTTGAGCTTCTAAAAATGCTTATTTTTTTAGATTTTAGTCATGTCAGTAGGGTGCGATCCCCGTTCGAGACAATATTTTGCGGGAGAAATAGCGATTCCTATAGAAAAAGAACTAAGTCATAATCTTTCAAAAGTGCAGCAAATGAAGCGAATTTCTACGCTTGCAAATGTTTTCAGATTATTGTTCACGCATTTTTATTTGATACATTGGTACAGGGCATTCCATGAATTTATTGTTAAGAACATGTAATAATTACTTGCTATTTGATTTGCTTTCAATCGTACGGTCTTTTATCCAAACCACCCCCTCTTACGACCCCCCCCCCCCTCACCGTAGGCCCCCTTTACGACCCCCCCCCGTTGCGACAGTCGCATCACACGCTTGACCCTGTTTGAGGTACTTTCTCTCAGCGGAAAGACCCTGGGGGCTGCGCGGTCCTCCACAAACGACCGCGCGGCCATTGAAAATTCTGCATATTCTCGCGGAAAGTCCGCCGCGAGAATGCGGCCGCTGCGCCGCAGCTAATCTGTAAGGAAACCGCGAGTGTTCTTCAAGCATTCGTCTAAAACTTCGCCAAAAATCTTCCAAATATCTGCAAGCGGACCGCAAGAAGTCAACGAACTCTTTTTCCGGTGCCCGCTTGCTCAAAATTCGCATGACCGCCTGCCCCCGGCGATTATCTGAGTGATTAATTATTATTTCATTTCATTTCGTAGGACCATGAGTTACTGCAGGCAACGTCAACTTTGGCGTCCCCTTCCCGAATTTGCGGTCGCGAAAACGCAAGAGAATGACCCGATATCGCTTACATCATTTTGTACTCAAAAAGGAAAGAAAGCCTGAGGAGAACATCAAAAACAAAAGGCACTGGCCATACTTCGTTTAAAAGCGCTCAAAAACGCCCGAAAGCGCTCAAAAGCGCCCAAATTTTCCAGTTTCCCGGTGCTGAAGCCAAAACTAAAGAATCGCCTGGAATTTGTTCAATGAAGTTGTCTGTATGTTGCAAGAAAATAGTGCCTATCTCATAATATTTCTCTCCTGTAGTCACGAGCATCAGAAATGTCAGAATAGATGATTGCCCATACTAGCTACGTTTGGAGTTATTTGATGTGCTAAGTGGAAGTGCAGGTCACAGAGGTAAGGAGGCTGTCTTTCCGGAACACTCGTGTAACTACCGCAAAGTTTCTTAAACAGATCCTAAGCAGTTCTATTTCAGTACCCTGGCAGCTGCTGCAGCTATATACACGGTAAACGACTACCAAGCAGAATGAGTATTTTGGAATCAGCATGATAAATAACCCCCATGCCGTAAGAGTTCAGTACGAGTAGCAATATTCAAAATTAATCAGTTCTACCAATACTTTCTTCATTCATTTTCCCAACTCCAGAGATATGGGGAGGAAGCCGAAATTGAAAAAAACATTAATTACAGGTGTGAGTAGTCAATTAGGTAGTAGTCAACACTGTATTTACACCAAGAACGCATTACTGACGCATGGTGTCAATTGAGCGCCGTGTCGAGGTTTATACGACAGGCTTTTGAGCGCTTTTGAGCGAAGTCTGGCAGGGGCCTAAGGAACTAAAGAACTCATCTCCTTACCCTAGAATCCAGGGGCGTTCTATATCATTCTACCGCTCGGGTAGGGGTTCTCGGCTAGGTCGTTACCCGACCGGGCACGTGCGCCCGCGTTCGCGATGCATCACTTTGTGACGTTACTCGGGCAAGAGCCCGGCCTGCCTAATTTGGGATTAATATGATGCGAGCTGACGCGTACCTAGTATGCCTACTGACGCGTTCGACCCGTTCAGGTGTTTCTGTGCGCTTCTTCACTGTTCAAATTCGTACATGATTCTCTCTTTATCTCCCACATGATCATAAGAATTGCTATATCCCACGATAGGGAGCTTTTATTGCCGAATTGTTTAACAGTTCTTCGTTGATACTTATTACGTTTGTGTTGGTTGGTAGGCTGTATTGTAGCCTTAGGCGGATGGATGGCGCCTGTAGTGGAGTATGGTAGCTCCTGATGTGTTATTAGAACACGTAAGCTATTGAAGCTTTATTGAACAGACGACATGCACCCATTCG